AAGTCCCCCCACACAACCGCAACCATGTTCAAGAAAGAGTAAGCTGCTTTACGCGTCGCCGAACAGAAAGAAAGGACTAACAGAAACACAGCATAACCTCGGGCGCAAAATCAAAGGTCAAATCCAGCGCCCAACGCGCCATCCGCTCAAAAGTGCTGGAGGAATACCCGAGATTAGAACCGTATATCGAGGATATATTGCCGAAGAAGGAGCAATTAGATTTGGTTAAGCTGTACGTCCATCTCTCACCCCCAAACTTCCACCCTGTCCAAAGTACACAGGAAAGAGGAAGTGCTAATCACTACAACAACAGACCCGACCGCGTATCCCTCTACACCCTGCACACCACCCCCCTCTTCTTCCAACACATGGACGACGCCCTCCTCCCGCACCTAACCCTCGTGCACAAATACCCCTTCGCCTTCCACCGACTACGCATCGACCGCGGCGCCATCCGCTTCGTGCTCTCCGGCGCGACCCTAATGGCACCCGGTCTAACATCGCCCGGCGGCCGCTTACCAGGACCTGAACTGAGCGACGAGGACAAAGAGGTGTATGGGGCGCAGGATCTGAAGGAGGGCGAGGTGGTGGTTATTGAGGCGGAGGGCAAGGAGACGGCGTGTATGGTGGGCGTGTTGAAGATGGGGACGGAGGAGATGAAGAGGGTTAAGAAGGGGCAGGCGTGTGAGGCGGGGCATTATTTGGGGGATGGGCTTTGGGGGTTGAAGTTGGATTGAGTAGAGGGGTTTTGATGGTATGGGCGAGATGAAGTACATGAGCAGGGCACAGCTGTAGAGTCGCGGACAGCAGAATGGTTGGAGGTGGAATGGCTTCTGATTAGATGCCACTCGAGGCTCTGATCAGACACGATATGATAGCTTATCTTGCTATATGCAAGATGGTTACCGATCTCAAAACGGGATCTCCATGAATACAAACGAAGTTGAACATGGTATCATATTTCTAATCGTGAAGACTGCTCTCTAGTATGACCAATGCATATGCCAGTGATTCACTCTGTGCAGTCGGGTTGTAGCATCTTATTGCGGTGCACCTCGACCGGCACCACCACCACCGCCTCCCATGAAGTTCCGGGCCCTGATATCTCGTTAGTCGTAATCATTCCAATGAGCAAATCCTCAACTTACATCTCAGCCAGGTTAGGGTCGTTCATGAGATCCTGCATATTGGGCATTCCACCTCCGCTTCCACCACCGCCGCCGCCTCGACCAGCACCACCGCCACCTCCACCACCGAACTGTTGAGCCATTTCCGCTATCCTAGGGTTGTTCATGAGGTTGCTCATCATATCCGGGTTGCTCATAAGGTTCTGAGCCATCTGCCTCATCATCGGGTTCTGCATAAGGCCCGCGAGATCGGGCATGCCGCCGCCTCCACCGCCGCCACCACCGAGCATACCAGCCAGAGCAGAAAGATCAGGCATTCCGCCGCCACCACCACCCATACCGCCAGCTCCTCGGGCAGCGTCGGGCGCACCGACATCACCACCGTCCTCTTCGACCTTCTTCTTGGCTGTCTCGTAGCCCTTGCGCATGACTTCTGAACCGCCGCCCTCTGCGTCCATACCCGACTTGTATGCCTCCATAGCGCCCTTTGCGTCGCCGAGAACGTACTTAGCGAGACCGAGACGCGACCAGGCCTTGGAGTAGTTGGGGTCGGCAGCGACTGCCATCTCAGCGTCCTCCTTTGCGAGCTCGTGCTTGCCCTGGCCTGAGTATGCGGCGGCGCGGTTGGAGAGGTAGATGGGGTTGAGGGGGATAACTTCGAGAGCGGCGGTATAATGCTTGACAGCACCATCGTAGTCCTTCTTCTTCATCGCCTCGTTACCCAGTCCCTTCAGTCTCTCGGCTTCATCCTTGTTCGGCCCGCCTGGTCCTGACCCGGCGGCAGGTGTCTGTGGCGTCGCTGGGCGGGCCTCCTTTGCCGACGAGGATCCCTCAGTTGTGGCGGTCGTCTTTCCCTTGAGCTTCTCGTAGACGTTGTAGATTGCGAGCAAGTTCTGGTCGCCAATGGCGTCCTTCTTTGCGGCCTCATCCGCAGCGTCGACCTTGAAAGCTTCGGCGATGCAGTTGGCGGCGACTTCGAGCTGTTCGGCGTCGTCGGGCGCTACGGAGCCGTCGGTCTGCGAGGTCTGGAGGAAGTCGAGGATGGCGAGCGCGAGGCGCTTCTTGGATTGGAAAGCCTGGGACTGTGAGCCATTGTTTACGTGCGCAAGTGGGGCAGACTTACCATGACGGCGTGATGTGTGTGTTGGAAGGGTCTCGCAGGCTGGGTACTAGGAACAATGGAGTACGTTCCCTGGTAGTAAGCTTATGAACAGGTGTTCAGGTAGGTACAGGACTATGGTTGGTTGCAAGTCTGAGATCAACGCATTGAAACTCGAAGCTTCCGTCGGTCAATTGGCGGGGCAGTCCGCCGCCGCCAGTGCCAAGCTGCTACCACCAGCCCTGTAGTGTTCACTATCAAACGCCGCGAGCAAAGAATGTGAATTTCATGGATTTGAGATTTAACTGGCGTCATTCAAGCCATCAAGTGCTTTCATTTACACGTCTACTCTTACACCCACTACTATATATAACATGCTAGAAGGTGAGATGGGTATCTACAAGTCTCTAATCGTCGCTCAATCCTTCCCAAGCACCCTTGGGCTTCTCTTTCGGCCACAGTGAGCTGAACCATGATTCTTCTTTTGAAAGAGACATGCTCTTAGCGCGCTCTTCAACTTCGCGGTCTAATGCAAACCTCCGCATGCGCTCGGCGATTCTCGGGTCCAGCACCATCTCGTCTAGCCATACGCGCTCCCTGGTATCGCCTTCTTCGCGCTTTCGTGCTGTCTTGGACCAGTCTGGTTCTTCGTGTGCAAGTAATCGTTGTTGCTCCCACTGTGCCTGACTGTGTCCGTCTTCCTCGTTTGTGACAGACGCTTCGCCTGCAGTCTCGAAAGGTCGGTATGCACCGAGAACAGCGGCAGCGGTTTCCCTGCCAATGTCATCCGCCGCTTGTCGCTTGTTCAGGAAACGGAACATGCGAATGGGGAAGTTGAAGAATCCGAGAAGGTGGGGAAGAGGCACTACGGCGGCGGGACCAAGTGCTTGCGGGCAGTTTTGGGAGAGTACGGCGTTGTGGTATTCGGCGGTTGAGATGAATGGTGGTGGTTGCTTCTTCTTCTTGGGTTTGTTCTCCTCTTCCTTCGGCTTCTCAGCCTCTTCTGCCTTTGGAGTTTCGGGTGTAGCGGTAGGTGATGCATCGTCGGTCGTGGCAGGTGTTGTGCTGTCAGAGGGTGTTTCGGTTGACGCAGGTGTGGGTTCGATCGCAGCAACCGGTACCTCTACCGTCGGTTCTGATGATGGCGGAGGGTCCAGAGGTCCCAGCCAACCCTCATGTAGTCCTCGAACATATTCTTTCCATGTGTGTCTGCCGATAACGATGTCTCCTCCTGGTCCACTCCACTGGCTCACACCAGCTCTTTGCCTTAGTCCTTCCAACTCCTCCTCAAGCCCTGGCTCCAATGGCTCGGCAGTCGCCTCGCCCCTCTTCTTCCTCAGCTTCCGTATCCGTTCTGCCAATCCAGCTCTGACGTCTCCTTCCCTTCGACCCTCGACCGCATCCCAATCTAACGCCGCTGCGACCAGAATGGGCTTGACGTATTCGTGGAAGTGATCGCGCGCGGGTACTATTCCATCCGCCGGCGGTGCAGATAAAAATATCGTAAGCCTCCTCGGCAGCTGGTGTACGTCCAACGGCTCGTGTGCGATGTGCTCAACAACCTTTGCCCACTTCTTCTGTATGCGCTTCTTCTGCCTGCGATCATACATGACCGCCGCAGTCCAAGACCCAGTAATCGAAAGAAAAATCATCCAATTGCGCGACGGCAGCTTGAAGCGAAAGTTCGGCAGGCCTGCAATTGTTAGTAGTGCTCCGCATGAGACAGTAGATCCACGCACCCATCATTCTCCAGACGGGATTCGGAGGCTTCTGCGGTTTGCTGGGCCCGGCAGAAGCCTCGCCCGCAGCTGAGGCTTTTGCATCCGGTTCGGCCATGCTGGTGTGGACGGCGTTGGTGGTTGCGGTGTTGGTCGCGCGCCCCAAAAATTTCCTTGACTGCCTATCGGCGAGCGCGGGAATGGATCGGAGCAGGCTAGTCATCGCTCCCAACGACCTGACTTAGCGAGTGATGGTCCCCACCTCTGCCCCTCACCCCTCAGTGACATTATTGGGACCTTGGACCGCATTTCGCGGCTCTGTTTCCCGTGGATTTGCCAACGTATTGTACAATAAAATTCAAGATTTTGCCATCAAATCACCTTCGGGTAATGCGATAACACCTCACGGTGGTAAGTTCTGCCTGTACGCAGTACCTATTAGACATCTTCTAACTGTACCTTCAGGTATGGTCTAGTGGTATGACGTCGCGTTGTGGCTGGCGGACACTAAGTGTCCCGATCCAGATCCGCGCCAGCCTGGGTTCGAGTACGTTCTTTCCCAATACATTGGTGGTCCTGAGACATCGTCTAACATGTCTACAGTTCCCAGTACCGCCAAATTGCGACATTCTTTTTCGCCTTTTTGTAAGTTTCTTTAGCAAGAGACTAGTGGGCATTCTTTTTGCCTCTCACGACTTCTACCTTGAAGGACTGCAGCACTTCACATATCTCTAAGCATGTGTATCACGCCTTAAACAAACTGCCTGCTTTTTAGTTTACTAGATAAGGAGCATCACACAGACAAGAAAGCAGGTCACCACTCTCTGCCTTTACAAAGGAAGATTGCTTGCATACTTCTCCGAACGCATTTAATGCTTACGAAGCAATATGCTTGTTCTAAAATCTTGTAATTGACCTTGACTACTTCTCTAGGGCGCACACATATGCAGACTTGCTTATATTGCTCTCTGCAGTGCATCGGAAGTCTCTTTTGCCCTTTAGACTTGGTTAGTCTCGTCTCTAGGGACAACAGATTATGCACTAGAAGGATTCATTTTAAGGATGTATTGTATCTAAATGCTCGTTGATATCGGACTCTGCTATCCGAACGTTACAAATCGGGCAGTCGACAAGTAATTTCTTCTGCATGACAGGATCATGCTCCTCATCTCGCGGCCGTTTCTGGCCAGCGCTCGAAGCTATCGGCGTTGATGGAGGGACGACATCGTCCACGACTGCAGACGCCACACCTGGCCCATCATTCGAAGACTTGGTCGAGGTTTCATCATCGCCAATGACAATAGGTACATCAGAAGTCTTGCCCTCCACCTTGACATCCTTCTTGATCCAACCATCCAACTTATTCTTCTGCCGTCCCGCCCGCTCCTTGGTACTCATAGCCTCCAGCTGTTTCTTAGTCGGCGCCGGTTCCTGGATCTTGTGATAAGTGCCCCCACATTCGGCCTGATGTCTTGAGTACCACGTGTCACCCTTGCCAGGAGCTCGGTTCATGCTTCGCTTGACGAGGCCAAAGTACGGCGGCTGGCTTCTGCAAGGACCGTCGCACTGCCAGACGTGGGTGCGGTAGCTGTCGACTTCATCGTGGAAGGTATGGTAGATGGTGACTTCATAGTTGCCGTGGTTGTTCACGGCGTCGGCAAGCAGCTGGAAGCCGACGCCATGCCCAGTACCGTCATCCCCGCGCGAGTGCTTCCACGATGTGGTGATGAAGAAGTAGGCGTGGATTGCTTCATGTAGCAGTGTGTTGATGGTATCCGACCGAGGACGATACTGCAGCAGTGGCGTGGACAGCTTCAGACGGATGCGCGTGAACTTGTTGGTCTTGGGATCCCGGGATAGCTCACATATGCCAGCGCACTGGATCTATTGTTAGCCGGTGTTTGACACGGCAGTCTAGAAGCGGGTGGGGCAACGGTCCGGAGACACGAGGGCGGCTTCAGAAGTGGTGGATGAGACGCGTGGAAAGCAAATTGTGACGCGCAAAGAAAACCTACCAGAGTCAAACGCGGCGACCAGATGACTTCGACACGTGGGAGGAGCAGTTTGCGGAAGTAGAGGATGTTATACAGGGCGAACAGCTCGTGGATGTCGACAAAGGGCTCGCCGTTGTTCAAGATGGCGTTGATGCTCTTCAGAGCGTCGTCCTGCTCAGGGGACAGCGGCTGCAGGGTCGCAACGGCCGCCAATGCAGCGTCCTCGTCGGTAACGGGCATGGCACATGCGAAACATAGTCGACTGTTAGTCGGGCGTGTTTAGCAGGGTGGCAGTCCAGGCACGCCAGGGTCTGGATTAAGGGAGATCGCCATGGAAGGCTGTTTCGGGTGCCGTGTGGCTCGTAGGGCTGCAATGCATGTGCACAAAACAGCCCTAGCGCGTGGAGATGATTGTTCGACACCACCAAGTGTCGTGACTTGGCTGTGCGGTGCCCCTTGCGCCTTCGTAATTAAGAGAGCCCGCCGAGTGCTTTGTCTGCCCCTGACGCCGTGGAAAATCTGGCCGTCTTTGCTTTCTCACACATACAAAGAAGCGTGGGGCGACATATCTAGGCCTCGCCATATCGTATGACGCACTGCCTCTCCACTTATTGCACAGTAGCAACCGATGCACGCGAACAGGACATCCACCTCGCATAACGTATACGCACACGCATTCCGATTCCGACGTCCCCTTTCCCGTGCAGTCACCCACACGACTATACGCTGTACGGATGGGCGTGCTCATAGTCTCGCTCGACAAACATGGCGGCAATCGATCCCCCCAGAGCGGTTGACTTGGTCCGCACAGCGTCGCAGAGCTCGACCATATCCAACCCACGGAACCGCAGCATACAGCGCATGCGGCCCTCGAAGCGCAGCTCCAACACGTCGCTCAGCCGCAGCCGCAGCAGAGCGCCCTCGCCCGAAGTCGACACCAAGAGCCTCACGTCCTTCCCCTCACTGTCGCCTAGCCCGGAGACGTCACCGGCACAGTCGCGCGTCAACGGCTGGTTCCGCTCCACGCCAGCGCCCGAAGACAGCCTTAAGAGTGCTGAGAGCAGGACAGTTGCATCGCCGGACACGGTCAAGGCTATTCCCCCGCCAGATCTCAAGAACACGACGCCTGCGTCTACCGTCAGGAAGGTCACCAAGTCGACGCAGCAGATAGTGGGCAGTCTGGTAGCCGCCTCGTCTGCCAAAGACCGGACGGCTCTCTTCGACGATACCCCCACCGAGTCGGCCAAGGTCCCTGGGAACCTCCACTTTGCGAGCGACGACAGCATACAGGATGCGCTGCGCCAGACGGGCGCCGTGGCGCTGGTCAAGCAACTCGCTGGCGACCTGGCCCAGCGCGATGCGCAAATCACGGCCCTGCGGAGACGAGCCGAAGAGCGCGAGCGCATGCTGAGGAAGATGCTGCAGGAGTGCGAGGTCTCCAACATGGATATTGAGAACCGGCTGCGCGAGCTGGAGAAGAGCAAGGATCCAGGCAATGGCCTCACCAAGACGAGGACGAGGGGCGACAGCGCAGCCACTGGATTGCACCCCGACGACCCCATGGAGGACAGACTCGCCAGGGCTATGGAAGACGAACTCGCTGAGCACCCCGATGCGTTGGGCATGGATACGGGCACCTCAGCGCCTCAGGCAGAAGTCATGTCCATCAACTCGATCGCGTCGGATGCGCCACGCGACACATCCAAACCGAACTGGAAGACCTACATTTGGGCTGGGACGAGCAAGAAGAGCAGCCGAGCACCGTCCGTAGCCAGCATGGTGGACAGAGAAGCCGAGACTCTGGGTCATACCCGGTCGCGCGCATCTAGTGGAGCAAAGCCACCCCGCAAGGCCCTCGCGAGCGATCTCTTCGTCCCCCCAGCCGGTGCTGTACCTGCGTTGCGCCGACTCAACAGCTCAGACCATGCTACAGACTCGGCGCGTAGATCTTCGTCGACATCGCTAGCAAGCTGGGCGTTGAAAATGGTAGCAGGAAACAACGCTGCAAACCCCAACAAGGCCAGTACAGTGCGCGGCCGCAAATCCACAGCTTCGAGTGTTGTCGACCGTGCGCCTTCCATGGATTCGACCAAGACGGCGCAATCCGCAAAGTCATCGCTCGCCAGCACCCAAAGACGAGGTCGCGCCTTGGGCCCCAATGGAACAATCAAAAGCACCGCGCTAGAACAGCCCAAGAACGTGTCGAATGGGCTCGGTCCGACTCCGCCTGTCCGTGGAATGAGCAATCTTGGGCCTGTGGAAATGGACCGAATCCTGCCTGAGGACTCACGGCCACCGACGCTAGTACAGCAACACAATAGATTCATCGGCAGCAGCGAGTACTTGACTGATAGATTTGGTTTCATCTACGACCAGCGCCGCAAGAAGAGACAGAGTGAGGCAGCTGCTGAGCTGATCAAGCAGAAGCGAAGCAGCAATGTGGAGTCACTCGGCGACGCCAGGACTGCACTTAGCAACTTGGCTCTCGACGAGGACCATGAACATGCAGGCTCTGTTCCCACGGATCAGAATGATGGCACCACACGCCCATCGAGCTCCGACTCGGATAATCACCAGAATCAGCCAGCCAGCAAGACCTGGGTTGATTACCTCAAGCTAGCCACGCATCCAACTGAACTCCTCTCACACACTCCATCCGCGGCGCCCATCACCACCGTAGAGTCCGCAGAAGGTGAAGTCTCTAACTTCAAAATCGGCAACAACCAAATTACATTGATGAAGAGAGGGTCTGCACCAACGGCGAGTGTCAACCCGGAGCCATCACCATCGCGTATCGTCTCAGGTAATGCAGAACTTTCCGCAACAACCACTTCACCGGGCCCATCTACTCCAATCAGCCAGTACCCGCCACAGATCGACCCAGTGCAATCACTACTAGAACAGATGAGTGAGCTGCACGACAATCTCCAAAGAGAGAGGACTGTCAAGTGGAACGACTTCCTGCGTAAAGTGCGTGCACAAAATAAGCGTGAAGGGGACGTTGCCAGTACAGGCGAGAACGGCAAAAGTAACGCAATGCCTGAGCAGTTCCTTGCCGATGGTGAGCTGGTAGGCATCGCGGGCTTGGGTAACAAAGGCAAAATCGGACGTGCTAAGTGGCAGGAGTTCCGCCGTCTTGTTCTCGGTGGTATCCCAGTCAACATGAGAGCCGCAATCTGGGCTGAGGGAAGCGGCGCGCTGCATCTGCGCATGCCAGGCTACTACGAAGACTTGGTAAACAATGGCGAAGACGACCCCACCATTGCAACCCAGATCCAAATGGACATTACCCGCACACTTACCGACAACATCTTCTTCCGCACAGGACCTGGCGTACAGAAGCTACAAGAGGTACTCCTCGCCTACTCCCGCCGCAACCCCGAGGTTGGCTACTGTCAAGGCATGAACCTAATCACCGCCTGCCTCCTACTCATCATGCCCACCCCCGAAGACGCATTCTGGGTCCTAACCGCCATGATCGAAGAAATCCTCCCGCAACACTACTACGACCAACACCTCCTCACCTCCCGCGCCGACCAATCCGTCCTCCGCTCCTACGTCAGCGAAATCCTCCCACGCCTCTCCTCGCACCTCGACGAACTAGAAATCGAGCTCGAGGCGCTAACCTTCCAATGGTTCCTCTCCGTCTTCACCGACTGCCTCTCCGCCGAAGCCCTTTTCCGTGTCTGGGACGTCGTCCTGTGTATGCACGACGGCTCTACGTTTCTTTTTCAAATCGCACTTGCGCTGTTGAAACTGAATGAGAAAGCGTTGTTGCAGTGCGATACCCCCGCTGGCGTGTACCACTACATCAACCACCAAATGACCAACCACGCCATCAGCATCGACGGCCTAATCCAAGCCTCCGACGCCCTGGGCAAAGTCATCAAGCGCAAAGACGTCGAGGATCGCCGCGCAAAAGCCGTGGCGCACGAGGAGGAACTCATGCGCCAGCGTGAGGAAGCGAGACAGGAGCGCGCAAGGAAGAGGGCTAGTAAGCTTTCGGACGTCTCTGCGCCGTCGCTGCCTACGCAACCGGAGGAGGAGGGGGATGCGAAGAGTCTGTCCGCTAGTCTCGACGCGGAGTTGTCGTCACGGACTAGTCCTATGGCTACGCCGTTGAGTAGCGCGACGGCAAGGAGTGAGGAGGAGGAGGATGCGGATTATGTGAATCAGAGTTTGGAATTGACGAATCGCACGCCGATGCCTATGGATGAGGAGTTTATGTGGCGGGGCTGATGGATTGGGGAGGTGATGATAGGGGAGGATGGTGTTGGATGGGAAGAGGCGATACGATACGACTTTTTCCTTTGTTACAGACGTACGTATATATTTGCATCGCTGGAGTTGGAGTTAGAGGTTTAACGGACTGGGTATGGGATCATCGTTCCTTTTCATCTATATACCCCATCGCCGCTGCTTGCTGGATGCCCCGTTGTAAAATTGGATTGGAGTGGATTGGATTGGATAGTTTAAAAACAATGGATACCCCCTTCTTACTTTCCGTGTCTCCGTCTTCGTCCTCCCATGTGTGTTTATCTCTTTCTTCATCCTCGAGTTCCGTGATAGAGACAGATGAAAGACGACGACGCTTGTCTAGTTGTCGGACGACTTCACCCATGTCCCGCCGAACGTAGCATGCCCTCCTCGCCATCCAAAGATCATCAAACTACTTGACTATCCATTCAAAACTCTCAAATTTATAGCGTACGTATATATATATCTATCGCGATGGTTGGCCTCTAACTATGATTTCACTACCGGATTCGTCGCATGTGAGTCTACAAGGTGTTCAGTGAGCTTCATTCTAGTTAGTATGCATACCACGCTCTACATGGCTCTACTTGTAATGTCCCTTCGATGGTTTCCATCAACCAGCGAACTTGTAAAACTATCTAGTAATTCTAGTTCATGCTGCTTTTTGCTGACAAACTAGTAAGTAGCAACGACATACGCCCAGTCTTTCCACGCAGGATCGCACGTCTAGTGTTGTTACGGAAACCATCACATCACTGTGAGATTGAAACGTTATGCAATCGGTTTGGGATACCACGAGTACGTTGGGGAAACAAGTGTGAATATATTGTTGTCATGTATCCTCTACCACATTCGAGTAGCTATTAACTAATTACTTTTCTGGCTTGTGACTTTTGGCTTTCAGTCGCCAGCCACACACATGCTGCACTATCCCTCGAGATGTTCGGCGGCCACCTAACTTGACCCGGACTGGCTAGTCTTGA